CCAGAGCTTCTGCCTTTTATGGCAGCACATGGACCCGGTTTGATCTTCCAACACGACAATGCCAGACCCCACACAGCAATTTTGACAAGGAATGTCCTTCAGAATGCGGGAGTCAACGTCATGGACTGGCCGTCAAGGTCTCCCGACCTCAATCCCATCGAACACGTTTGGGATGCTCTTGGCAGAAGTCTCCGGAACCAACCACAGAATTTGCAAGATCTTGGCACCATTGTGCAGCAACAATGGCGTCGTCTTCCCAATCATGTGTTCACAAGCATCACAAGGTCCATGCGGAGGCGTTGTGTTGCAGTTGTCAACGCACATGGAGGCCATACACGCTACTGAACTTGTGTGCCATCTTATGATTTAAACTGTTGATGTTATTACCGAATACCGTAGGTGCTTGGAACTAATTCTGGTTACCACCGTTAATTAAAATCCGTCTTTGGACATTAATGATTAAAAATTACCTTCTCTGATACATTTGTCCATTGTATATCATATATGGGATTACTTTTAAAAATGTGAAGTTTTTAATTTGACTCAAAAGACACTCGGGTGAGATTTTCTATATATACTCCTAAAAAAAAACCCGTAAATCTAGAGTTGTGTGAGGTATGAAAATACATTTATACGAGGAACCGTACAAGGTATTGAGCCAAAATGTTGCGGAGAGAACACTTGGTGATCGGTACATAGGAAGAGTCCGAGGTCAAGGTCAGCTACCGTCAATAACGCGTATGCCCCCCGTTGGAATCGATAGCGGCCTTGCATCTCCTGCCCATGGAAGAGACGATTATGCGAATCACATCCTTGAGAATGGTATCCCACTCGGCCTGCAACGCAAAAGCCGTCTCCCCGATTCATCCCACAGTTGCTCTATCGGGTTCAAATCCGAGGATCTTGAGGGCCATGGGAGAACATCAATGTTGTTCATTTAGACAGGCTTTTGTGATCCGTTCTGTATGCGGTCGAGCGTTGTCCTGCTGGAATACACCGTTGCCGTTGGCTGCAATTGGGAGAACGTGTGACAGGAGAATTCCGTTGCTGTATCGTTGAGCCGTGAGATTGCCTTGGATATGGACCAAACCTGTCCTGCCATGATGAAAGATAGCCACCCACATCATAACGCTACCCCCACCAAACCTGTCCACTTCCGGTACGCAGTTTTTCAGCGTAACGTTCTCCCCGACGTCTGTAAACCTGCACTCTTCCATCCCCTCGACGGAGGAGAAATCTTGATTCGTCGCTGTACCAGATATCTCTCCATCGCAGTTGAGGCCACACCCTGTGTTGACGACACCAATGCAGTCTTTGGTGACGATGTTGTCGACTCAATATGACGCGTCGAACACGACGTCTTTCTCGTAGACCTGCTGCTCTTAAACGGTTTTGTACGGTCTGGTCGGAGAATCTGCGCAGTCCGGGTATTTGGGGTCCGATTTAGTGGCTGTGGTCGTCCTTTCACGTAGGTGGCGCGGTCGGATGTAGCGATCTTGGGCGGGGTGGTTACTCTAAGTCGTCTCGAGCTTGGTCGGTCACGTGTTGACCTATGCTGTTGAAACCGATCCAATAGCCTTGTGATTATGCTGGGCACTTCATTGAAAACCCTGGCTACAGCTGATCTGGATTACCCTGCCTGCAAGCGGCCTGTGACGTTGTTTCTTTGCACTCCTGTTAATCTTGGCATGTTTTTGAACTGTCACTGTTCGATTGACGCAGAAGCCAGGCAATCAAAACCTCTTCACTTTAATACCGTTCATAGTGCTGCTGCACGTGCAGTACGTGCAGCTCCATGGCCCTTTTGTAATGCACCGGGTGCGTTTTTTCCGAATCATACGTGTTTCCCGACTAATGGTTTGCATGCCTTTGTTGTGATCATTTTGATCCGGGAAATTTTTCACTGACACTAAAACACATTAAACCTCTTGTTTTTGCACCTCTTGCACCACCTAATTTTGCTTTTATGGCCAAAAATATCCGTATTGCGTTTGTTGTTTTGAAGAGTATATTTTACTTAATCAGGGATAAAACTCATCAATATAACTCATTAACTGCAGTATTGTGTTAATTTATGTACTATTACTACTGCGACTAATACTAATAATACTAATGACATGAGGATTGACACAATTCGAGGCTGATATAAGGGTGGACATTGCTACGCTAGGTCAGAAAAACAATGCAAACGAACAAAATCTTAGCCATATTCAGATCAAGTATATCGCAATACCTATGTCTGAGACGTAATTTGTGTGGGATTTTTATTCCAAAATATAGTAGTATAAAATCAAAATCAAAATCATTACAACAATTATCACGATAGTTTTTGACAGTTTTGAAAGAAATGTGTATTTCCAATTCCAATTCCAATGTTTCCAATTTTGACCCCCTGAAAAATTACGTACACACATTTTCAACCTTACTACCGGTGAGAAAGTGTGAGATGAGACCCCCACTGTACATTAGAAAACAGTGTAGGTATACAGGGGAAAGAGGGAATACAATGTGTGTTATGTACGGTGGCCCATAAGGGATATGGAGTCTGTTTTTCAATATTTTGATGTTTAACTTAATTTTTATCGTAACCTTTTGCAAATAAACACAATTTGCCATACAAATATGTGATAAATCATGTATAAAAACATCCGAAAACATGGAAAATGTACTTTTAAGTAGCTATTGACTCGCTGAAATGTGAAGTGAATATGTCAAAAACTAAAATGGAAATGTCAAAAACCAAAACGAAAAGGTCAAAAACTAAAATGAAAATGTCAAAACCACAAAACGAAAATGTCATAAACTAAAATGAATACACAGAAAACTATTTCCACCGCGGTGGGAATATTATCCCCGCGGTGGAAATAGTTTTCTGTATTTACATTTTAGTTTTTGACATTTTCGTTTTGTGTTTTTGACATTTTCATTTTAGTTTTTGACATTTACGTTTCGTTTTTCAGCGACTCAATATCTTCTTTACACATGATTTATCACATTTTTGTAAGACAAATCGTGTTTATTTGCAAAAGGTTACGATAAATGTAAGTGAAATATCAAAATATGGAAAAACAGACTCCATGTCCCTTATGGGCCACCGTAGTTATGCCGTTTGGGGGCAACTACTTATGATGTTTAGTAGTCCTGTTAATCTGAAGCGTGCAATATGTCACTCCCTGACAGTTGTAACAACTCGTCACACTTGCCCAACCTACTCCATGTGTTGGCCGTCGTACAAGATTCAACGAATGATTCAGAAGCACTGCACCGGAGTTCTCGGTCGAAGTGGTCTGAAGCTTATTACAGGATTGCACGTTGTTATCGACATATGGCGATGACTGACATTGACATTTCTACTTCTATTGTATTGATTGATTATATTCAAGCTTAGGTTGCCGAAGTAGATCTGGCGGCGAACAGAGTAGCTGCGATATGTACTTGAAATTGATATCATATCCCAGTCCACAAACTGGCACTCACTCACTATCTCTCACCCTCGGTCTCTTTCACTCTTTCATTCACTCTCACTCACTCACTCACTCACTCTCTCGCTCCCATTCTCGCTCTCTTTCTGTCGCTCAATCACTACGGTCTTACTCTTCATCCATCCCTCTATCTCTCCCACCTCACTCACTCACTCTCATTCTCGCTCTCTTTCCGTCACTCAATCACTACGGTCTTACTCTTCATCCATCCCTCTATCTCTCCCACCTCACTCACTCACTCTCATTCTCGCTCTCTTTCCGTCACTCAATCACTACGGTCTTACTATTCATCCATCCCTCTATCTCTCCCACCTCACTCACTCACTCGCTCTCATTCTCGCTCTCTTTCCGTCACTCAATCACTACGGTCTTACTCTTCATCCACCCCTCTATCTCTCCCACCTCACTCACTCACTCTCATTCTCGCTCTTTCACTTACTACTGTCTCACTCATTCTCCCTCCCTCCCTCTCTCCCTCTCTCCTCCCTCAATTTCTCTCCTACTCAGTCCCTCACTCACTCACTCACTCTCATTCTCGCTCTTTCACTTACTACTGTCTCACTCATTCTCCCTCCCTCCCTCTCTCCTCCCTCAATTTCTCTCCTACTCAGTCCCTCACTCACTCACTCACTCTCATTCTCGCTCTTTCACTAACTACTGTCTCACTCATTCTCCCTCCCTCTCTCCTCCCTCAATTTCTCTCCCACTCACTCCCTCACTCACTCACTCACTCACTCTCACTCTCGCTCTTACAGTCATTACTGTCTCCCCCTTCCTATCTCATATTAGTTTATACTCAGGTACTAATGCACTTAGAATACTCTCCCTCCCTCATATCAGTTTGCACTCAAGTACTACTGTACTTAAGAAGATATGAAGCCACAATGCGATGTGACTAACACCGCCCCTGTCATTACCCCGCGATCATTTGGGTAATCATAAACTTCCCTTGAATAATGCATATTTGATTATGGAGACTTACAGATTATATTCAGATCATATAGTTCAATCGATTCAGTCTCATGACAATGAAACACCCATTCGTCAAATATCCTAACTCTATTGATTATTATTTTGGTTCGTTCCAACTTAAACTTCTCCTGTATGTTCCTTTGTCGTCAAAGAAATAGAATGTCTTGAGATATCCTGCTAATTCATATTTCATGGATATCTTAATAAAATAACCATCAACTTCCAGCTATTTACAAGAGCAGCCCCAACCGAGCACATGTATCGGTCAATGGACGACCACAGCATCTGTTACATGCACTGAGTGTCAGTCGTGTCAATGAGCAACCACTCTCACTAAACATTTTATTCATACAACTTCTGGTTCAAGTACTTGTTGGTTTGTGATTGTACTTGCATCCCTGAACTTGCACTCGTAGCAACTGGGTATCATAGTCTATTTTTCCGATGCAAACTTGTTGTTGTCGTCGGCATCGATCTTTTTAGATTCATTAAGATTTATGTAAACATAATTCTGCATTTGTGAATATTCTCGTTCTCCTTATTTAGATACAGCCTCAATCTGAAGATGGAAGACCGAAAGACCCGCATCTTTGAGACGATATGGTTGTTCTGGGCCTTTCATCTCGTGGTACGTATGTTAATCATACTCCCTTATACAATTAAGGACTGTGGATGGGTTGTCAAGCTTGAAGGGTTTGTGTAAGTACGTTACTCATACTCTGTATGAGCTGTGGGTGGGCTTTAGGGTTTGTTCGTAGCTACGCTAATCATATCCCCTTGGGGCTGGGGGTGGGTTGTTAAGGGTGTGTGTAAGTACGTTAATCATACCCCTTAGGGCAGTGAGTAGGTTGTAAGGGTGTATGTAACTACGTTAATCATACCCCTTGGGGCTGGGGGGTGGGTTGTTAAGGGTGTATGTAACTACGTTAATCATACCCTTTAGGGCAGTGAGTGGGTTGTAAGGGTGTGTGGAAGTACGTTAATCATACCCCTTAGGGCTGTGAGTGGGTTGTTAAGGGTGTATGTAACTACGTTAATCATACCCATTAGGGCTGTGAGTAGGTTGTAAGAGTGTGTGTAACTACGTTAATCATACCTCTTAGGGCTGTGAGTGGGTTGTAAGGGTGTGTGGAAGTACGTTAATCATACCCCTTAGGGCTGTGAGTGGGTTTTAAGAGTGTGTGTTACTACGTTAATCATACCCCTTAGGGCTGTGAGTAGGTTGTAAGAGTGTGTGTAACTACGTTAATCATACCTCTTAGGGCTGTGAGTGGGTTGTAAGGGTGTGTGGAAGTACGTTAATCATACCCCTTAGGGCTGTGAGTGGGTTTTAAGAGTGTGTGTTACTACGTTAATCATACCCCTTAGGGCTGTGAGTAGGTTGTAAGAGTGTGTGTAACTACGTTAATCATACCTCTTAGGGCTGTGAGTGGGTTGTAAGGGTGTGTGGAAGTACGTTAATCATACCCCTTAGGGCTGTGAGTGGGTTGTAAGGGTGTGTGGAAGTACGTTTATCATACCCCTTAGGGCTGAGGGTGGTTTGTTAAGGGTGTGTAAGTACGTTAATCATACCCCTTAGGGTAGTGAGTGGGTTGTTAAGGGTGTGTGTAAGTACGATAATCATACCCCTTAGGGCAGTGAGTAGGTTGTAAGGGTGTATGTAACTACGTTAATCATACCCCTTTGGGCTGGGGGGTGGGTTGTTAAGGGTGTGTGTAACTACGTTAATCATACCCTTTAGGGCAGTGAGTGGGTTGTAAGGGTGTGTGGAAGTACGTTAATCATACCCCTTAGGGCTGTGAGTGGGTTGTTAAGGGTGTATGTAACTACGTTAATCATACCCATTAGGGCTGTGAGTAGGTTGTAAGAGTGTGTGTAACTACGTTAATCATACCTCTTAGGGATGTGAGTGGGTTGTAAGGGTGTGTGGAAGTACGTTAATCATACCCCTTAGGGCTGTGAGTGGGTTTTAAGAGTGTGTGTTACTACGTTAATCATACCCCTTAGGGCTGTGAGTAGGTTGTAAGAGTGTGTGTAACTACGTTAATCATACCCCTTAGGGCTGTGAGTGGGTTTTAAGAGTGTGTGTAACTACGTTAATCATACCTCTTAGGGCTGTGAGTGGGTTGTAAGGGTGTGTGGAAGCACGTTAATCATACCCCTTAGGGCTGAGGGTGGTTTGTTAAGGGTGTGTAAGTACGTTAATCATACCCCTTAGGGTAGTGAGTGGGTTGTTAAGGGTGTGTGTAAGTACGTTAATCATACCCCTTAGGGTAGTGAGTGGGTTGTGACGGTTCTGTGTTAGTACGTTAATCATAGTCTCAGACGTTTACCACTTCGGCGAAACCCACGAGCACGGGTATGGTGCTGACAAACCTAGAAACCCAGTTCAAGACGATCTGATCGATAATATGTATAGTTATGAAAAGGGTCTTAATTGGCGCAGTACATCAGATCACCTTAGCACATTCATTAAAAACTTAAAATAGTTGAAAAATATCCGCCTATCCCAGTTGACAGTACACATGTTTTGCAGATCCTGCATTCGACCGAAATCTGCAGGCTATTTTTTACGAACCGGATGTCGATTATGTTACGTGAATGTTGTTTAAACCATGCTTAGATCCGTCAGTCCAGCCAAAATATAACTCACAAATTCCAGCCACAGTTCGGCAAGGGTGGAAACTGGAATTTTATAGTCAGTTAACTCCCTTGTCTCGGAAAGATGGCCGCGGTATAACTGAAATACTGTTCAAAGTGGCGTAACACCCAGCTCACGCAAAACCGGACAAATGGTACACGATTCACCATTTAACGTATCTTCTTCTTTTTTTCTTCCAGGGGTTTGTGAATGGCATCATTGGCCCTACTCTCCTGGACTTGCAGCAGTTTGTCCATGCTTCTTTGACCCAGATGACCTACATATTCTTTGTCCAAGGAGCAGGCTTCATAGTTGGAATTCTCCTGGCTTTCGGCCTTGAGCGGTGTTTAAGCACGAGACTCATCATGACATGTTCTCTCCTGCTTGGTTGCATGGTGAACTTTGCCCTTCCCTGGGGCACTGTGTTTTACTATCTTGCCATTATGTTCTTCATCATGGGTATGGCTAAAGGATTGGTTGACTACGGTAAGACATCTAATGGGGTTTTTTTCAATGAAAAACCTTAAATCATTAATATTTGTGAAAGTTTGAATATAAAAGTATATTTTTGATAGACGATAAAAAGTCAATTGTTATGTATAAGATAGTATATAACATCAACGCCAGAGAATAACCAGTCTCGATTATCAGCCGATACAGATTCCATTTGGCGTAAAAGGAAAGTAATCGTGAAAATTATATGAATGGACCACTGAAAATCAGCTATGACACCAGGTTTCCCGAAAAGGGTAATGTCCTGCCCCGCCGGTAGCACCCGGTAAAACAATGTTGTATGGTTTTGCTTTGGATTGTGTAAACCCAAGGGAATAGAACCAAGGGAAAGTAAGACCTGAGGCTGAACCTGAAGTCTTGTTCCAGAGGTTAATCATCTTCCCGAGGCAAGAGAGTTAACTGACTATAAATCCAGTTTCCACCCTTGCCGAACTAGGCTGGTATTATGGAGTTACATTTTGGCTGGATAAACGAGTCTATGCATAGTCCAATCAAAATCGCGCACCGAAATCGAAGTCCGGTTCGTAAACTGACGTGCAGATTTCGGTCGATTGCAGGATTTGCAAAGCATTTGCACTGCCAAATCGTTGTCATCAGATTTCTTCCAAATCGTTTCGTGTTTTTAATCAAGATGCTCACGTGATTCGATTCATTTCGCGATGTAAGACCGTTTTATCACAATATAGATCTTGATTATCGATCAGATCGTCCTGACTCGGCGCCACCATTTTGTGTAAAGCAAACGCAAGTGATACGAGAGGTGGAATCTGATTGGTCCATAGGAGAGGCTTAGAAGGGACGTAACTGGTAATAGCCACTGGTGGCGCTTCGATCGAGCCTAGTTATTCCAGCCTAGTTCGGCAAGGGTTGAAACTGGACTTTTAAAGTCAGTTAACTCCCTTGCCTCGGGAAGATGGAGGTTATTATATAATAATTATCACATGTGATTGAAGTAATACGTCAAACTTCGAGCGAAAACAATACTTGTTTTTTTGCATGCGTGTGCAACACAAGTTTTCTCAAACGTCAAGGAGCGCGCAGCTATTTCTTTAAAAATGCAGCCGATTAATATCTTTATGAAGTCATTTTAGTTTATGATCATTTCACACAAACACCAAACAAACATTACATACTCAAAGTGATAAGTTCTAATATCTCCAAAGCATACCCTCAAATGCGTTTCCTTCTTGGAAATAGCATCGGTATTTTGGCTCGAATACAATGAATAGAAATTATTTTAAAATACTTTAATGCAGGTATGCCATGTTACTGTAGTGGAGGTAGAGATTGTTCTGTTGTTTATAAAGGCCAATGTAAATGGAGATACAGAATAATAATTTTGAAAGAAAAACATCAAAGGATACACAGATGTCATTCTGTCATCACACATAGCTGAACCCGGCAATAAAAATCTGTTTTCTGTAGTTCTCATGTTTGTATCGAATATAAGAAGCAGCAGAGAGATTTCTAACGAACAAAGAATTAACATAACACTTCATATTCTGGAAAGTCGACATCCCTACTTCACTTCCAATGTGGCTTAAGTCAAATGACACCCTTTTTATAGGTCACAGTACTGGATTGGGAGGTCGCGACCATTTGACAAAAATGTACAAAACCTTTTTCTTTGCAGCGGCAATGTCCATCTCCAACCAACTATGGCCAGGGGAAAAGGGAGCGCCCTTCCAGTTCGTGACTCTGGGTGCGGGGATTGGCGCCTTCCTGGCACCCTTCCTAGCCACGCCCTTTCTCTCTAACGGACCGTCCTCGGGAGATATGTTCTCAATCGATATCAACAACCATACCACACAACCACTAGTCTGTATAGAAGAAGACCAATCAAAATGCAACACCGAGTCACGTGTCCAATATGCATACGTTATCATAGGGATATTAAGCATACCGCCAGTCTTTGCGTTTGCGCACTATCACCGGAAAAGGGGGTCTGAACCGCTCATGAGCTATGAAGAGTTTCAACATACTGAAAGAGGAACATATTCCGCACGAAATTATTCATTTATTGCTCTCCTGTTTCTGTTCCACATTCCTGTATTCGGAATAATATTGGCTTACGGTGACCTCTTGACCCCTTATGGCGTCAATATTGGCCTTCACCTTTCAAAATCGCATTTGGCAGTAATGACTTCAGTTTTCTGGGGATGTTTCCTAATTGGAAGAATACTCAATCTAAGTTTTTCAGGCTGCCTTCCAAATTTCGTTCTCCTTTGTCTGAATTTCGTTGGTGTAGTGATTGCATGTGGCGTCTTGATAGGGTTAAGCGAGAAGTATGAAGTAGGACTATGGATGGGAACTGCGGCACTGGGAGTATTTACCTCCCCTTACCTTCCCATGGTTCTAGCATGGAGTGCTGACTATGTACAGCTAACAGGGGGGATAATCACTGCATCTTTAGTGGCAAGTGGTGTAGGGGAGATTCTAGTGCCGTTCATTACAGGGCAGTGTTTTGTTGCTTACGGTCCGAAGGTCCTTATGTATTTCATAAGCGGAACAATTGCTTATGAAATAGTGACATTCCTGTTTTTGGTCATCTGCTCTCGAGGACTCCGCAAGAATTGACTCCCTTCTGACATGTTCTAACTGTGATAGAAATCTTCAAATCAAACCAGATTCATGACCCAACTTAGACTAACATCTAGTCTCTGAAATGACCATATTTTACAGTTGTTAAATTATAGTTATAACATCTAATAAAACGGAGCCAAGAGACTTTCTTCATTTTCAGAAACTGCAGTAATCTAGACTTGCCAAACATTATAGACTTGCCTGGGCTGTATTGGATATATTTGTTTCAGGGTCTGTATGACAGACTAGACACAGCTATGTACGTCTCTTTTCAGCCTGTGGGGAAATTGCCCCTTCATATGGAAGTTGTTTGTGGTGTAGTGGTGTATGCCTTTCCTGTATTATGACTCGTCATCTGTTTTCCTTAAGATACTTTTCATGTGTGTGTATAATTATGTTTCCCATCCCTTTGGTTGTGCAAGATAAAGATGATCCTCGCAATCTCATGAGTGTTATTTTGTACAGAGATGATAATGACATTTGGTGCTGGAGTCTTGAAGGGCCTACTACAGCAGGAACCAGCACCCAAAAACTGGACAAAAAATGCGTCAAGACCCTTTCCATAATCATGAGAAATTCCTGCTAAAAGCACAATCATTTGCACGATTCCGTTTATAATATAAGCATGTGTTTTTGAATCACCTCCAAATAGTGATGACACCAAGTGTTCACGAAAAGGTGAGGGATGCTCCACCGGTGGCCCCCGTCACAAACAGCACTTTGCATGTGGACGTGGAACGTACCAGTCAGGTTGAGTGAGTGAGTATGGTTTTACGCCGCTTTTAGCAATATTCCAGCAATATCACGGCGGGGGACACCAGGAATGGGCTTCACATGTACCCATGTCGGGAATCGAACCCGGGTGTTCGGCGTGACGAGCTAATGCTTTAACCACTAGGCTACCCGACCGCCCCACCAGTCAGGTTGAAAACAGACAGTCAAACTTCAGTGGCTGGTCAGTTCTCCAAATGGTGTCTTTTCTATCACGGAAATTCTATGTTCGTCAAATTTGGTAATGTCGAATTATGCCTGTATCATGATTACCGTCATGGTCACGGTTTCAGATCTACATAACGTGCAAATATTGACGTGTTTTTAGTAATTTGGCCTGGATTTATTTTATTTTGATTTAAGTTTTGTCAAATGAATATATTGGCAATTACCAACAAGACGTTCTTGTAACACCGTGGCTGGAATTGATAAACGTAAAATTAATATCGGCCACATGTTCCAAACACATGTAACATGTTAATTATACAGAACCACATAAATAATATTTGTTTTCGCTACATATTCAATATTCAACGGTTAATAGTTTCAGCAACAAATAATATTGAAATGTGTTTTACAATTTATTCATGTCAATCATGATATTGACCAGTTTGTTTTGTTAGTTTTGTTGTGTGTTGAGGACATACCTATAATCACAACAACAGACCGTACCATAACAACACTCAGATACAGATGAATATTCTCGTTGCAATGTATTCCTTGCATTACAGATTACCGAACGGTATTTTTTGTTATCGTTGATTATTTCAATTATTTTGTAGTGATAAGCTAACTGTGTTGTATAATTACTGTTTTCACTGTTCTGTTGATAAAATTGCATTCTGAATTACAATCACTTTCTGTTAGGCCACGTGTTACGTCACGTAACGCTGCTTTAAACCTACGTCAGTTATAACACGGTGTGTCAGCTTCATGTTGGAGACAACCCCGAAGTGATGCTGGTCTTATTGAAAAGGCATTGAAATTTGTAATCAGTGCTTCTGATTCATATGGTTTTACGCCGTTTTGAATCGTAGTTTCTATTTCGTCACCATCAGTAGTGTGTGCGTGCGTGCATGCGTGCTAACGTGTATGTGTGTGTGGTGAGATGACAGAACAAAGTCACTATGTAAGGATCTCAATATGCCGAGATAAACACTGTAAAGTGAGGGAGGGAGACAGCTGTAGCACCGAAAGGTGCTTTTGAGTCTGGATAAGGTACATCATTGTTTGGTCGTTTGAATCACACCTGATCCCCACTGGTCGAGCCTGGGGCACTGGAGATCCTCTCCACTCCAGTTTACCACTTGTCAGTTCAAGTTGCGTCACGCCACATCAGCAACTTCAACCTTCTTCCACTCCTCGTCAAGCGGTCTTAACACTATAACACGTTTCCATTTCAACATGAGTCATTTTTTAAACTGTGAATCTCATAAATATGAACAAATTTGGAAATGAACCATCGAGGGACACCTCGGGTAACTTTCATAAATCTGCCCTTTGAAACTTCCTTGTGTGACTCACAAGTGTCACCCGTGAAGATTGGTTTTCCGCAACCAATTCTCGTCGTAAGAGGCGACTAACGGGATCGGGTGGTCAGGCTCCCTGACTTGGTTGGTGTATGCCATCGTATCCGAACTGCAAAGACCGATGATCATGATGTTGATCACGAGATGGTCCGGTACAAACTTGATTGTTTACAGACCGCCGTCGTAGAGCTAGATTGAGGTGTTAAACAACAAACAAACAAACCCACAAGATTTGCATGAGTAGTATAGCGATGATCTACGTTGCTTAACATACTCCGCGTGCTCATCTTGCCCAGCTTGCAGAGACATTTGGTACGTCCTCGTTACTCAATCTCATTGTGACAATGTAACAGTAAAGAGTAACCTGTCCCGTGGCTAGCATGGCTGATACAGGATAGATGCACATAACGGACTCTGATCGGACCTGAACAACATTAAGTCCGCTTCGTAGTTACTACTGGCGGAAGAAAATCAAAACTGACAATACATTTGGCGTGGTGCAGACGTTTTCTTTATTATCAAGTTTTACAAATAATTACACGTGAAGACTGTACATGTATAACGATGTTTACAGGGATAAGAATATAGTAGAAATATAAGGACTCAATGATGTTTGATCTGTTGAAATGAAGGTGGTTTATGTAGATACAAGGCTACCCCGATGTTGTCTGAAGAAAGAACACTTGTTTCGTTTTTTGGTAGAATAGGTCATCAGCAACCCATGCTTGCCGTAAAAGGCGACTGTGCTTGTCGTAAGAGGTGACTAACGGGATCGGGTGGTCAGGCGCGCTGGCGTGTTTGATGCATATCACCTTTGACATCAATCACTTGACTGATAAAACAATATAGGTATCGTGTATGATACACCAAGGAATAGGAATAGTTTAACCGACAGTGAGAATAATTTTCAGAATAAAAGTGTTATAGTGGGACTATGATCGGCAGCCTGGTGTCATATCAAGAAGCTTTAATAAGTGCAGTGTGCTACTGAGACAGTGCCTCTTTGTAACTCGGGCTAACTGCTAGATTGACATACATTAACAATTTTTAAATGTATGTTACCTACATCAATCCTGCTATGGCTGCCAATTGGGCCCAGTCTAGTCCCCCTTTAACTGAGATGTGTGTCGGATGAATGTACATAAGCAATAGTAAATAAATAGGCGATCACCCCAGATCTCAACACAACAGTACATGCGTAGTTTGTGTAGTTAAAGGGAAGTAACCCCACATAGCTTAAGTCGACGTCCTGTGAGATGGGAGTGAATGAACATTTTTGTGGTCCAAACTCGCCCTAAATTCTACTGCAACCAGAACATTTCCAACCAAAAACTATTCTATATTTACCACTGCTAGTTGTACTGGTCCACTGAGAATATTACAGGATGCAAAAGATCATTTGTTAACGGATGGTAAATAGGTTTACTTATCAAATCGCGTGTATCTCAAGTGGACTGTCTGCGTTCCAAATAACATCTTATTCTGTCCAAATATCCTTTATCACAAAGTAAAACAAATTACCTCTCTATAATATTGTATATATGAGGAAAGCTCCTTCAAACTTAAATGTACATCAAATATTGAAATCATACACTCCTCCGGCTAGACTATATATCATACACTGCTTCGGCTAGACTAATTATTTATGTTCTTCTGATAACGAACGTTCCCACTATGATAAGTGCGCCTGCCACACCCTCCAGTATTCCTCCCACAATGCACAGCGCGAACGCCCAGCTGAGGTATTGTGCAACCCCCTCCTGACTGCCATAGATGATGGCGCCGATGATGATTGATCCCGCTGGAAAATAACAGAGGATACATACATATATATACTTACATCTTTAAGTTCAAGAGAAACAATTACACGGACAGTGATACCTTGTTAACTCGAACTGCATTAACTCGATACATCGTGTAAGTCGATTTGACATAATGATTACAGTTTTGATGATATAACCATCGGCACTATGGTCCAAGAGCTCCACTCCGCTGGTGTCGACTTATCGATAAGGATATATTTTATAACACAGGACCATGAGTTGACGAGAATAGTGGGAAGTGGGGTGCGTTGAACGCCGCTTTGAACATTAGTTCAGTTATATTACAGGGTGTGGTGTTGATGAGGTTAGAATGCCTGAAGAAGCGTAGGCCTTAGACTTTTACCACTTTGCGCGGGTATGGTGCTACGAGCACGGGTTTGGTGTTTACAAACCTGAAACATAATCAGGGCGAACTGGTGTTCGAACCCACGATCATAGGTTTCTGTAACGTCTAAGGGACGCAACTCAGCACAGTGGATTCCGTCGCGTCAGATGACAAGGCCACCCGTTCTCACTTGTATCATGTCATTATCTTTTTAAATTTCGTGGTACATTAAGTTTGCTAAAGATTTGAATAACTATATAGTTCTTTTAGGATCATATAGGGTGTGAAATATTAAGAGGACGTACAAGCACCGAAACATGCTATGGCGTTGATGATGGTGACGATAGTCTTGTCCTTGAACGCCTGCAGAAAGATAGACAGGAATAATAGGACGACTGCAACTGCAATGGCGATCAACCCGGCTGTCTCAAAAAACTGAGTTGCGCGTAACCAGCCTGGAAGAAAAAGAAAGTGTGAAAAATAGTCGTGTGTATGTTTGTACAAACCTGCAGATCAGGGTGCCGTTGTACAAACCGATCTTAGCGTTAAGGTGATCGTAAGTGCCAACCTTAACATAGACTTATGACAGTCGTAGCGCTAAGGTTGTTTTGTACAACGACACCCTGTACAATACTGTTTTTCTGTAAAATCCTCTTGCTTTGTTCCATCATGTAGATGTGTATAATCGTGATATCCTGTACAATCATATATTTCTGTACGGTCCTGTAGATTTGTACAGTCCTGCTATTCTGTACTACCATAGAAGTGGATTTACGCAAAGAGTGCACATCGATTTTTACGTTTTAACTCCATAATTCTTATACATAAATACGTCAACAATAATAACTTCACAGACTGCTTATGTTATGATACACACACACAAAACTGTCGACAACAGTCGAAGTTAGTGACATCGTTCAGCGCAATAATGCAAAATAGCCCCCAGTGAGTCTGATGCGGCTTTCAGCAATATTCCAGAAATATCACAGCAGGGGACACCGGAAATAGGTTTCACGCACTGTTCTCATGTAGGGAACCGAACCCGGGTCTTTGGCGTGACGAGCGAACGCCTTAACCACTAGGCTACCACCCACGGCACATTGTTTTCTTTAGATAATGTAGATGGATGAATGGATAGTAACGAGCGTAATGTATATTCAGTATAAGAGGACCATTAGTCTAAAATACAATTGATTGATAATTGTCACAGGCACATGAGGTTAAGACGTAGGTAAACTGTTGCACAACCGAAACATGTGATAGACAAACTTGGCTACTGAGAGAACATTTTTAATTTTATCAGAATTTAAAATATTTACTATTCACTGTGTACTTTTAACCATATTGACAATATATGGGATTAATATCATTCTTAAATTTGTGTATCTATCACACGCTAACCATCCACATTTTCAGTTTAATCAGATGTACAATGGACACACACGCAGCAGCAACAGGATAAGGATTTTAATTTTTTTAATTTACGGAAAACATTAACCGTAAAATTATGTTGGATATCCAATACTTCCATCCTATTTACAAAAGCCCTAATACGTGACAAAGTAGACACAATTTATGGATAACAACTTCTTTATTTACTGTAAAGGCGCCATTTCGGTACAGATCCTTATACTTGCTTGACAACGGCATAAGGATCTACACCGAAACGTCGCCTTTACAGTACTGTAAATAAAGAAGTTGTTATCCATAAAGTGTATCTACTTTGTCACCCGTCACATTCTAGGTAATGCCTATCAAACACTTCCTTAATACGTGATTGATTTATCTCATAAGTGAGTGATCTATAATTCAACCCCATAAAAAGATTTTAAACGAGAGTAATTTCTAAGACATTAAAGGTACACACTGAATCGTATTTAATTCTTTGCTTTAATTATTTGCTCAAATATATATACACTCTACAAAAAAAAGAAACGCACAGGTAGTTTGTAGTTTATTGAACATGAGTACACCAAAAATATGGTATATAAATTGGATATATGTTATTGGAAACTGTTGGTGGCCTGATGCCATAGGACGTTTCCAAAGAGGGGAATCGCAGTCTTCTGTTGCACGCCACCACAGCACCATTTGCCGTGCTGAAAACAAACGATGGACATCGACCCGTCTCGCCCAGGACAGCCTTATTTGGAGCATACTTACCTTTACCACAAAACCTTATAAAAAGAGCATGTGCACATTTTAAATGACGTCATAATGTTTCATTCTCCACATTTCAGAACCATGTTATAAACAAGGTGTATGCTGTTTAAAACATAATGCACATATTTTACCTTAATAGTTAATAAATAGGCATTATTAGTTTAGATGCTTGTACTGCAAGTGGTTTACATACTTTGATGAAAACGTTAAATCCAGTTATTTATAATAAGTATTACTCTGGATCTATATAATATCCAGTTTCCATTTCTGTTTTATATAATGCCACCGATTCTGAAAACAGTAATACTAAAACAGTTGTTTACTATTGGAAGTCAAGTTCCTATTTTGGTCCAGTTCCCTTTTTTAAGATAGTGAGTCTAGATAATCCGTAGCTCAAGAACCTTATATCTTCGGCTAGTTTGATAATATGACGTTTCCGGTCTAATTTCTTCTGTGAGAGACTTATTTTAGGGATAGGCCCTCTGTCTTTATTTGCCTCTAGTTAACGCCGCCTAGGTTATTTACTCATTAGAGTGTTGAGTTCATTAACTCGCAGGTGTTAACTGGTCGCAGCTGACTTATTTGGCTGTCTATGCATCTATTCAACATCCTTTCAAAGTGTTGCTTTAACTGCTATTTACTGAAGACCACGATGACGTGCATGATGTAGCTCCCAAGTGCCGTAAAGCGTTGTTGTTTTTATTTATTGGTTGACGGATCCACCGACCGTAAAAATCAGGAAAGTAGAAAAAAAGAAATTCCCAAATGAGAGGTTTTTTTCTTACTACCCACTGAGCAATAAAATATATCACACTTTGTTTTCATGCATGTCCCGACACAAGATATTAAACTCACCTCAGCAGCATGTTTTAATTATTGTTTTTTTTAGGGTCTTGGCCAACATGACATTGCATTATAATTTTAGTGTTTTTGATACCTTCCGGACGATAGTTTATTTCAGTTTTCCAGGCCAGAGGCCCATACAACGTATCAGTACATAAATATTTACAAACATATATAATAAAAACACATGATATTAATATTGATGAAGTAAGCTCTGTAGCTTCATTGCTTCAAATATGTATCTTGATGGCTGGACAACTGTAAAATTACATGAAGAAGACATACGATTTACAAAAGATGTAATTGAAGGTTCAGTAAAATAGTTAGGAAGAATATAGATTTGTCTAAGGTCAGTAAACGTATGGCATATGAGCAAGAAATGATATTCGTTTTCGATCATTCTTACATTATATCGAATACAATATTAACAATCTGTTTTCTTGGTCGAGGCCTATGTGTCTTCCACTTTCTATCATGAAGTGGAAATATCTACATCTAAATGTCGCAAGGACTTGTTTCAAAACTTTGAAGTCAATTTGAGAAAATAAGGTTCCATTTGTAGTATTGATTTCAAAGTTGCCCATGCTGTCATTTTATATGTTGCTGTTATTGATGTCCGCCACCTTACACCTTACTTATGATGTTACAGTCACATACGTTGTTTAAATTTAGATATGAATACATCTACCACTTTCTCCAAGAACTGCATAGTTGGAAGTATTAACTGGTACAATTAGAATTCTTTTGATGAATTTGCTTTGTTCTCTTCCTGTTTAATCCACCATCTCGCCCCAAATTTCAGCACCATGTGTTAATATAGGGAGAATCTAGAGTCGAAGACTTTCAGAGCTGTTCATGTAGATAGTCTTCACATATAGAATGAAGTTTGTGAATCAGAAGGCAAACTCTTTCTTCCTGTGGTGCCAGCACAAGTCGTGATTTAGTCCATTTCAGTTTCGGTGTTAAAAATAGTCCAAGATATCTATAATATGAAACGTTTTCGATTTCACAGCTTCCATAGTACCATTTGTCATCAAGTCTAAGATAGCCATCAATTCTATAAACAATAATCTTGGATTTTTTTAAACCTAGAGTAAGGCCCCACTTGTCGCAAAATGTGATGACACAGTCCACCTATTGCTGGAGTTTATCTGCTGAATCTGAAGAATTAGCTACATCATCGGCGGAGAGTAGGGAGCATACGTACATTAGGACATTCACTTGTTATATATATTGTTTGCAGTTGAAATTATTAATTGTCAGTTACAAGTTTATTGATCTAAAGAGTAAACAGGAATGGACTGACCATGCATCCCTTTCGGGTAACCATGCAGCACTCGAAGAAGTCAGATAGACCCTGCATGACTGTAACTTTGAAAACATATTGCGCAGAACCATTAAAACGTTTCCATGGATTCCGTATTTGATGAGACGATGTCACAAACGAATACATGTATGCTTAACACAGTCAAAAGCTTTTGTGAAATTCAATGAGAAATAAACTTGTCCTGTATTCAGTAACTTCTTGAAATATGCATACCACTCCGCACCATTAATATTACATTTTGAAAAGGTTTTCTTCAGCAATTTTTTTTCAGTGTTCATTTGTGTTTTCCTTAATATCATAAAACCTGTTGTTCTTATACTGTTAAAAATGTTCCTTCTAGAGTTGACATGTACACTTAAACCTTGATTTATGTCTCTTATACTTCTGACAGTGTTCCTGTGCATCTGTCTATCTGAACCTATCAACAGCACGATACTGGTCACGCTTCAACTGCTTACAGTCCTTGTCTCGCCACGGGGTCTGACGGTTAGGTATAGACCACGTGACTTGTGTCGTCTGCTCATTGATTCAGCCGCTCTGTAGTAAAATGTAGATATAAATGTAACCGAGTTGCCGATGTTCCTGTAAATTTCTTGATATTTTCCAGTACATGTAGTGACGTTGATATATCATCATGTACACGTCTTTGAATAGTTGCTTCATTTTTGTGGTTCCATATACGTTTTGTGTAGGGTGACACAGAGGGTGTTGGGTGACACAGAGGGTGTAGGGTGACACAGAGGTTGTAGGGTGACACAGAGGGTGTTGGGTGACACAGAGGGTGTAGGATGACACAGAGGGTGTAGGGTGACACAGAGGGTGTAGGGTGACACAGAGGGTGTTGGGTGACACAGAGGGTGTAGGGTGACACAGAGGGTGTAGGGTGACACAGAGGGTGTAAGGTGTCACAGAGGGTGTAGGGTGACACAGAGGGTGTAGGGTGACACAGAGGGTGTGGGGTGACACAGGGGTGTAGGGTGACACAGAGGACGTAGGGTGTCACAGAGGGTGTAGGGTGACACAGAGGGTGTAGGGTGACACAGAGGGTGTAGGGTGACACAGAGAGTGTAGGGTGTCACAGAGGGTGTAGGTTGACACAGAGGGTGTAGGATGTCACAGAGG